CCCCAAAACCCCAAAACCCCAAAAGCTTTGATCTAATTTCTAATAATACTTATCGGTTAAATGAAATCTTTTGTAGATAAAATATAAATATATTATTAACATGAAATCTGTTATCTCTTAAGTAAAATAACTGATTCCACTGGCGATTCTGGGATTTGCTAGTCTTATCGAGAGCAATGAGAATACGGTAGTGAATTAGACATAGCCAAGCAGCTTTATTGAATATGATATATCAGTAAAACAGAGTGATTACTTAAATTTCAAAAGAGATATTAGCAATCCAAGAGAATCATTTTCAGGGCTATCACTATTTTTGAAAGGTAATAATCTCAAAATAAATATAAATCTAGATAACTTGAAGCCAAGCTCTTTCTTAAGTGAGAGTGATGAGCATGATATTATAGAGATTGACCTACTAGACTACTTTGATGTGCAGATATTTTCAACTATCTATGTTGGTAGCTAGAGATAACCGTTCAATCTGATATTTGATACCGGATCTGCTGTAATTCAACCACATATCTTAATCAATTAATAGTGGATCTGGGTGAATTCATAAGGATGCTACTAATGTCCAACACTGAATAGATTCTTATATTAGAACTCAAAAACTTATAAAAATTTCAAAGATAATATTGTAGAAGTTACTGTAAGTGAAAATTCCCTGATAGAAATTTATATAGTATGGAACTGGCAGTATGAAGGGTTACAAAGGGTCTGACACTATTTGCCTGACTAAGGATAAATGTGCAGAGAATGTTTCATTCTTGAGAGCATAGCAAACAACTGGTTTGATGGGGCTTAAGGCAGATGGAATACTTGGTTTGTCTCCTACTAATCAAGGATCCGATGCTGAAATGCTACTAGATGAGTTATTTGATCAGGGAATGATTCATAACAGGTTATTCTCACTTTTCTTGGTTTCTGGCAACGGAGAATCTAAAATCACTATTGGAAACTATGATTTATAGAAATTTGCTAGAAGTGAGATCAGTTGGCATCCACTTTCATCTCTCAATTATTGGACTTTAACTTTGAAAAGTGCTTACTTCGGAGATGAAAAGCTTAAACCAACAGTTAAAAACATTATTGTTGATTCAGGTACTTCTTTCCTACTTGTGCCGACAGAGTAAATTAGAATTGATCATTAAATTTTTTAGAGATTATCTCGAGATCAAGCAAAAATTCTGGGATAAAGATTTTTCATGCAAGAATGAATACATGTACAACAATCTATTTACCTGCCAGTGCTCCGATGAACAGTATGAAACTGACTTCAAGGATATCAAAGTCTAAATCGAAGGAGTCTAATATGTCATCTCAAAATAGAACTATATCATTAAGATCGGAAACAGCTGCATCTTCAAGATAATGAGCTTAGATTTTGGCTCGTATGCTAGATTCTGGATTCTTGGCATTACTTTCTTCCACAATTACTATACAGTCTTTGATATCGATAACAAGAGAATCGGCTTTGCTGAATCATCTGCCTCCTAAGTTTACAACTCTATTATTAAAGTAGATGATCTAAATAAGGCTCTGGTTCAATAGCCAGAATCAGCTCTACTACTTAAGCAAGAGATGTTTGATTAAGCGCAACCATCTGAGAATTTCACATTTATTTTGATAATTCTGTTCTCTATTTTGTTCCTCTACCTCTCCATCATGTTCATCCTATTCATGAAAGGAAAAATTGGAAATAATTTAAATCAAGGAAACGAAGTTAATATGCAATTACTAGCCTAGTAAAATGCAGAACCGAAGTTAAACTCATCAAACACGACATCTTCAAAGTGGAAGCAATATTTCCATGAATCATATGCAAGAATTTAAGGGAAATCTTTGATATAGATGTGAGAAATCAGTTTCTTATTTAATTTTGCAATTTCACGATTTTAATGCGATTTATTATAGGATGGGGTTTTGGGGTTTTGGGGTTTTGGGG